TGTGGGTATAGTCTGCTCTAGTGGTATTTCTTGCCAAGTGTATGATCGTGGAATTGCATCGACAGTTCACTCGTTCTACGGTCTTATGACTGCTGATTTGCCATGGCGTCAACTGATCGACCGTTCTATCGCCAACTCTGTAGTTTGCGATCGCGTTAGGGCTATCGACGTGATAATTTGGGACGAGGCAAGCATGTCTAGCCAGAGGATGTTTGAACTTGTGAACTGCCTTCACCACGAACTCGAAGATGATCAGGTAAGTCGTACCCTACCATTCGCTGGAAAACAGCTTATCCTTGTAGGAGAATTCCTGCAGTTGCAGCCCGTCCCTAACATATTTGATGAAGGGTGTTACATGTTCGAGTCACCCTTGTTTGATTTGGCGATTAGCCATCGTTTTGCATTAACTAAGGTGATGCGCCAATCTGAAAACGACAAACATTTCCTAAATGCTCTTGCTGAGATAAGGCTGGGTCGGTGTTCAAAAGATTCTGAGGAATATATTTGTTCCTTGAAGAGAAATTTGTCTGCAGACGTAGAGGAAAGTACCACGCACATATTTTTCCGCAAAATACCAGTGACACTGATGAATAGAAAGGAACTTGACAAATTACCAGGAGAACTTCTGGTCTACAATGCATCATTTGAAAATGACAATTCCAGGAGCATGAGCTGGCCAGGGGTGGAAGTATTGCAACTGAAGCGAGGATGTAAGGTTATGCTGGTGTGGAACTTGTCAGAAAACCTAAAGAATGGAAGTGTGGGTGTTTTTACTGGTGCTCGGGGTGACGATCTTTTGGTTTTCTTTGAGGATGTTGGTGTGGTGGAGATTTCCCGGCAGACATGGATCAAGAGGAACTTGACAGGGCAAAAAATGGGAGGCGTCACACAGTTTCCCCTTGTTTTAGCTTATGCCGTTACCTGCCATAAGTCTCAAGGGCTAACTCTTGCTTCTGCCATTGTCCACTGCTCACGAGAGTATGTTTCCGGTTTAATTTATGTTGCTATTTCAAGAGTAAAATCTCCTGAACATATCCAGATTCTAGATTTTAGTCCTCGGCAGCTGTTAAGACCACCAAGAAGAGCAGTAGAAATTTGCTCCTCGCAACATCTCGATGCCCCAGTCGCGGACATGTCATGTTGCCGAAACAAAAATGTCAATTCTGATATTTTTCATTCCGTTAAAGATCGATATCACGAGTATGGAGAAGACGATGATCCTTTCTCTTTTCCTTCAGAACTGCTGGATGGTCCTGCAAGAGCGTCATTTGAAGACGATGAGGTGGCAATTCCGATGGAATTGATGGAAGTGTACCGCCAGCTGTTGACACACGAGTCTATTCTCGCAACTCCCCCTCAAGAAGTTATGATGAGCATCCTGGATTTATTGCCATCCATGAAATCAAATGCTGTCTCCACCTTTTGGGAAGAGAAGAACAATGCAATTGATTGCTTGCTAAGTGAAAGCTCTTTAGAAAAGGTGAAATGCTTCGCGAAGCTAGTTTGGTTCCATTATTACCTAATGGTAGAAAACCACGTGGTCGAAAATCCAGACGAGATTTTAGTTGAAATTGGCCGTCAAGGGTTTACCGCAGTGACGTCCAGTCTGCATAAGTTTTTTATCGGTATTGATTTTTCACGGTACGTTTGTGCTTTATTTGATGCAACGGCAAGCACGCCACCACAAAGGGCTGTGGCAGTTCAGCTGGCAACTTCGGTGTACCGGATATTTTTGGAACAGTTGGTTTCTGTTGTAAAACAGCAACGACAGGAGGAAACCATCGATTTTGATGTTGATCAAATGAGTGGAGTAGGTAGATCAAAAGTACGGCATGTTGGTGGTTGGGCTGTGAGGAAGGTTCTGAATCGTTACAGAAAATACATTCAAGGAAATGTGTTTACGAAGTGCAGTTCCACTCTGGCCAGAGTTGAAACCCAGCAGATAGCTTGCCAATTACTTGAAGAGAACGTCATACGACCGTACTCAGAACTGGAAGAAAATTCAATGTTTCCTGACACGCTAGAAGTGACAGCTCCACTGAGTCGTGTGTACAGCAAATCACAGTTGGTTGCACTTTGTGAAGCGTATAATGTCAGGGTTTCTGCAAGCTCAACAAAGACAGTTATTGGTGAAGCCCTGCTGAATGCTATTACACAGCACATATTTGTTCCATTTACATCTCCGGTGGATGACAGAATTTTTCAGGTAGCAGAAAGATCAGAATCTGACGATGGACACATCAGAATCCGTTTATCAAGAGGTAAATGTAATGACATTAATTTAAATGGTAATGGTTCTTTTAAAACTACTGACTGCAAGTTAAGTACTTTATGAGCATAAAATACTAGCCAGTCTAAACTGAAAAATGCAAAAACCAAATAAAGAAAGTCACTTTAGAGTCTTTTTTCGATTCATTCCTTCAATCGATGGCCTTATGTACACATTGGTGCTGTTACAAGATGCATTGCTCTTTGTACTAATGGTTGTTTGGCCCAGTCTGATGGAGTTCTGCTGCAAGAAGGTGGGATTATCATTCTGGCCATTGCATGAACGTATCTGGCAGAAATGATTCTCCACACAGTCTTGATTTACAATCGCAGGTTTAATTACTGTGACGGGGAATCTAGTCATCTTGTAATGGACCAGAGACTGGAATCCAAGGCACATTGATTGCAGATCAAACCACAACTTAGAAGAGATGAAGCTCTTGCTGCTTCCTTCAGTTTCATTGGCCCAGTGGCACATCCAGTTATAGAACTTGTTTAGCTTGTGAAGTCTTAGGTCCTCAGATGAATTGATGTAAAGCCTATCATTAAATAAGCTGACAATTTCGCTTGTGTGCTGAAGAAGCTCTATGACAGCATCCAAATCATCGCCATCATTTCCAATCTTTTTCAGGTGTTCCTGGTACTTCTGCAGAACACAGAGAAAGTGGAAATACAATGAGTTAAGCATGTGTTGATGGAAGGTAATAAGAATTTTTAAATTGCTGGAAACCATTTCTGTGGCAAAAAACAACAAATTTAAAAATTGTCGTTGGGTTTTTATATCAAGTTCTGATGAATTAAAAAAAAAAAATTGTTTAATAATAGCAGAAAGTGATGCATACCTGACAGATATATTTACCAGTACTAACTAATTGTTTTCGTAAGAAACAATATAATCTTATAGGCATATAATCAAACACGCATCACAACAAAATAATCACCTGCATTAGAAACAACATCTTGGCATCTATCATATCTTCAGCAAGTTTGTTTCTCATTATACTGGCTGAATCAAGGTCTAAGTGTTGGATGGTCAATTTCTCATGTAGTGGGAGTGAGAAGCTCTGCTGGTCCCAGTCAAAGGCACTTCTGAAATGCTTCCAGGTGACTGACTTTCCACCAATTTTGAGGCACCTGGGGTTCCCATTCTTATTGCTCTTGTAGATGTTATTCCTGAGTTTCTTTATGTTATGCTGTTGAATATATGATATTTTTGTTAGCCCCCAAAAAATTACTGGTGATAGCTGCTTTAATAGGTCTTGAGAGATTTTTTATCAAAACATGTTTATCTTAACTAGAAGACTTAATTATTGTACCAGGTGAATGATGGAAGTAAATAGAAAGGATTTAAATCCTCTTCTCAGTTTTCTCAATTCTCGATTCATGTTTCAGAAACCCGGATAAGCTCGGGCCTGGTGGGCCACTAATGGCTCATATGCAGACTTAACCTTTTTAACTTACCTTTGGATCCATGATAAATATCATCGGACAACCAGTGTAAATGTTTGATGTTACAAACTTGTTATCACCAGGGTCCTTGTTCTTAAAATGTAATTTGATGAACTGCCTGTTACAATCTGCACCATCCAGCACACACCAGTATATCCTATATTAAAAAAGAGGCTGATAACTATCATGAATTCAACTATAATATTTAACCCTCTACAGTCTTTTAACCATTACCCGTACTTATCTTTCAACATAGTTTTCCCCCATCAGGTGAAAGTTCTAAGTTGAACTTTGAAAAGTCTGACCATACACAAACATTCAACAAGCTAGATACAACCAACTAAACATGTGTGCAGACACATGTTTTAACCTAAGAAGTCCACATTCTGTTGCTGTATACTAATTGTCTCCATTTGTCTGGAAGTATACAGCTAAATGAAAAGTAACTGACTCACTTACTCAAATCCAATTTCTAACATCTTCAGGACTCCTTCCCAGAACAGATGGTACAGATCACTGGGTGTGCAGTTTGCTGATGGCCATTGTGCAATGGGAAACCTGAAGCCACCGTCACTCAGGAAAACAAACTGTAACACATGCGTTGCAAGTTCTGGTTCACTGCCCTCACCTATAAATCACGTTAAAGTTTAAAACCATTGAGAATATATTTTATATTATTCAACATAATTTAAGGGTAAAAATACTGTTTTAATTGAAGGTCAGAGAGATTTTAATACAGGGCTTACTATATTAGCCTAGGTATATCTTTCTTAGTTAAGCAGAAATACAAGTTTTGGAAATTTCATGAAAAAATTGGAAATTCAACATTACAAATGTGCTATACAAATTTGTAAAATTTTAAAGAAAATCATTGATTATCGAATTCTGTAAATAATATGCCATTTACATGTGTTTGAAGAGCAAGTACCTGACAAAGTTCTCATGAGATCATGACCTTTCCCTAGGACAACAAATTAAAGCCTACAAGCTTATGCTTGCCACCTACGGAGGTCATCTCTAGGTTCTCCTAAAGAAAGATTTGAAAGGAAAGATGAGATTTCTTCACCCAACTTATTGTAATTTAAACGATATGTCAATTGCATTGATTTGCTTTTTAATGTTACCTGGATCTTCATCTCATCAATTGCAAAACCACCCATGTAATCTCCTGGCTTCAAACCATTTTCTTGGGCAGCATTTCTGCACCACATAAGTACTTCCTCGTTCCAACCTGGAGTCTCTTTAACTTTGTTCTTATAACTTCTATAGTCATAGAGCAGAGTGAAATTTCAAATGTTATGTTCCTCCAAATAGTAATTAAAGAATTTCATTGTGAATTTAAATTGTATAATTACAGTCAGGGGAGGAATTATCAGTTAATTAATTACAAAATACACCTAACATATCGGACTGATTGTATGATGCTCATTCCTGAAGTTGCTAAGTGTATTTGCTTTCACAATTAGTTTTGGAGTACTCATGAGTAGTCAAGGTATTTTTGATTGCATGGAAATTGTGTACGGTTGGTCTGAACCCCTTTGAGTACTTCAATGAAGCCTTACCAAAAGAGGCACTCAATCACTTGTGTGATCAAAGCAATCAATTCAACAGGTACAATTATTATGTGTTCCTCACCTTATTCTCCTATTGCTAGGTAGAATAATGAACTGTCGGAGGGGGTCTAGCACATGTGGGTTTTTGCAATAAAGATCCAGGCATAATCTCATGATCCTGCAAATATATAATACAAAATGAACAAAAATAATCAAATAGTGACAGATTTAAAACAATGAATTTGTTGATTTCAGGTAGAACCATCTTTCAGTCATTTAAGTAAGCTGTAGTAAGTTTTACCACTTCATACTTGCCAATGTGGTTACTTATATCCAGTAATCTTTTACTGGATATAAAATTACTTTTCCACAAATTACATATTACATAGAAATTACTTTTCCACAAGTCAGAAAAGTGACCTCCCAAACTAAGTACTTTTGTAAAGGGGTCCTAAGTACTACGTTGTTATTGTAGCACGTGTAAGGATATCTCTTCAGGATAAACAAAGTGCTTATGTGTAGAGGGAATTGTGGAAGTGGAAGAGGGGGGGGGGGTAAGGGGAAAGGGGTTTTGGTTTTAAGAGGTTGGCATGACTAACATGGAATTGTTCTATATTATATATTTCAGTTTACATACTTTGGATGCCATCGGTACGCATTTTTACTTTTACATCCTAGAAGATTCTGTTGCTGCTCCCATAGGCTAGCCATACTGTCAGGAACATTATCACCCACTCCATCAAACATCTTAGCAAAATCTGCATGGTCATCATGTTCCATCTCAATGCACTCGGCCTCGAACTTTTCTCTCCAGTATCGTTCTCTTTTTTCTGCATTTAACCTTGCTTGCCTCTCCAATTTTAGTTGCTCGGTAACTTCTTCCTTAGAGAGGAAGCGCTTGTTGGTGAAAGGGCTGATCACCCCATTTGTTTCTAGTTTTCTTTTCCGTATTTTTTTTTTCCAAATAGTGTAGGTTTTTGCAATTGTAGCAGCACTGCCCTGCCCTTGAAAGTATAGAACAGTTCGCCGAAAAAGCCCTGCGTTCTACAGTTTCTGTTGTTCTGTTTGTAGACAAATCAAAGAAAATACCACTTTCATGGGGGATCATGGTATGTAGAACCTCTCCATCTGTGATTGGCACTCCACAGCATAAAGTCGAGGCATCTATGAAGGCTAAAACTGATTCGATCCGTTTCGTTATAGGAGATTGCTCAAGATATTCTAACTGAAGGACCGTTGTAAGATCGATTTGACATCCATGGGATGTAAGTACGATGGAGTAAGATTCAACTTCTTCAGCAAATTTCACCTCTGTCACCACTCTCTGTTTGCGGAATGACCAGTGTTCATATCTTGCGAAGGTGAAGTGTCCTCCCTGATCACTCACCACATGCCACCCGGTTTTTTGCGAGATCTGTTGGATTTCATCTATTGAATCATTTAAACTTGTTGATGATTTTCGCGTAAGACCTAGGTAATAGTTTTGTCTTCCTTTTCGCGAACCACGTTTGACGACCCTTACTCTATCACCCC